TAATATTTATGAGTAAACCATATTTTCGTGATAACTATAGATAATAAATAACAATATCTTAATTCTTTTTATATTTGCTTTTTATTTTAGTGTACACTAAAAAAGAGGATGTTGAATTTAATATAATTCGATCATTTTGCGAAAGACTAGATTTAGGTTTCTTACCACTCGTTCAAGATCTGCGCCAGGTTCTATTGATGGAATTTGATACGAAAATACCAATCCGTAACTGATATTACAATGAAAGTAAAGGGCGAGATCCAATGCTGGATAAATATTTTTGTAATGAGGATAAGGAAAATAAAACAGCAGATGTATTCTCACCTATATGTGAAATGGCAATGAAGCAGAAATATTAATAATCATATCATTAACAATAGGGAGTTAGTTTTAAAATAGAAATGAATCGGAATGTTATAGATTTCACTGATGTAACTGCAAAGAATAAGCGACTGGATTTTATAGTCTGGATAAAAAATATTTTAGTATTTAAAGTAGAAGAAAAAGCGACTTCTTCAAACTTTGAAGAGGCACAGCAAGAATTATTAGAGAAAATGGATAATTGGAATAATTCATTCTATGGCCCAATTCCATATCTTTTATCCTACGCAGCAGGAGAGACATCACTACAGTTCTTTGCAATAACAAATAAAAAGCAGCTGATTCCAATTAGCTCTCAATATGATTTGGGATCGCCATTAGGACGAATTAATGTAAACATTTGAAATATATTTTTTTTATTTATATATATTTCAGAACTGTACATTTACTAATATTGGTCATAGGTTTTAATTTCATCATTTAACATATTTCGGCTACTAGTTACGGTTCACAATTTTTTACCCGCAAATGGCACTCCTTTATATAAGCAAATCAAATGGAACTTTGATACATATATTACCATATTATCTGAAGACACGGTTTTAAAAGAAATAAAATGCTTTAACAAATATATGTAAGTAACATTAAATTTGAAATTAATTTTGTAAAATATTGTTTTAAATATAGTAAATTTTTATTAGTTATAGCAATTTTGATACTTTGAAAGAAGTCTATGCGACAATATCAAAATCTAAATATGCAGTATTTGCTAAAGAAGGACCACTATTGAAACAAAGTAAAAGTGGAAATTTTAATGAAACTTATTTTGTTCAGCTAACACTAGTCTGCCATAAACGTTTACCACATAATGAAAAAGAATTACGTGATGCTATTTTAGCAATACTCAACGTATTGAATCTTCTCCACAGAAAGAGTAACATTTGAATTTTGACTACAGAAAAAAATTTACCGTATGCCATTGCTTACAGTACCCAGCGTAACAAATAACGCAGATAAATTTTTTATATATGACATGTGATATCAATTGTATATTGCACATGATCTTTAATTTTTCACTATGTGAAAAATCGTGTCACACCAGGTACTGTAAGCAGTGGCATATGGTAATAATTGTATTTTTCGTGTAATTTTCTAAATTTCTAGTTTTAATATCATTAGGCCTGGTGCACCAAGATATACGTTGGGACAATATATTAATTAATAGTAATAATTGGTTACTATCTGATTATGAGCACGTAGGGCGAAATGGGCAAAAATCTGAATTCCATCTTGATCATTGGCTAGACAATGCATACAATGGGTATGACTATAAGTGTGATTTGTTTTTAGTTGGTAAATTGTTTGGTCGATTGTTGTTCAGTTTTTCCTCGGATGCACAAGAACTTAGTTACTATTTGCAACAACAGAGATTTGATAATTGTAATGAGGTTTTAGCCCATAATTGGTTTCAACATGACTTGATTTAGTAGATATGTAACATATTCAAGATAATTATGTACTAAATACTAAATATATAGCTTATTAAAATTTTGAATTCTGATTAGCTGTTTTATTCATGTCTTTCGAAGTTACTACACACTAATAAAAGTTGTGCAAACCAGAGCTAAAACGACATATAGTACCATAAATGCCGGCCATCTAAAATGTTGTTCTTGATGCATAATTATTGCGATCAAAGAACAATAGTAAAATAAGAAATTCTATTAGCTATTTATGCTATTGTTTGTGTTATATTACTTTTATTTTAGATAGATCAAAAACGACATTTTGGATGGCCGGCATTTACTATATGTCATTTTAGCCTGGTGCAACACATTTTGTAATTTTACATTAATATTTTTAAATAAATTTTAACTACGCCTACTTTATACTAGGGATGGCAAATGTTTTAAAACATCATGTTTTAAAACATGTTTTAAATGTTTTAAAACATTAGTGGGATATCACTATATAATATAATTATATTATATAGTGATATCCCACTTATGTTAGATTATATAATCTAGATATCATTATATAATTTGAATACCACTATAATCTAAATAATATTATATAGT